TGTGGAGGAAATTCTTCCGCGAAAAAGGAAATTCCCGAGGCGCCGAGATTGTAGTACGCAGAAAAGGCAAGAAACAGGGAATGATTTCGAGCAAGAAAGTTTTTGTTTCAAGCAAACTTAATTAAGAGAGACAGTAATGTCTCGCTTCAACAATTTTTTAAATTTAGCAGAGGAATTTGCAGAAGAGTTCGTTTCATATCAATTTTAAATGACAATTTCTGATGCAAAATTCGAGGTGTTGAAGTTCGATAAAACTGGTAATTTCGGATTATGGCAAACAACTGTAAAAGATTTGTTGGCACAACAAAGAATCTTGAAGGTTTTGCGGGCAACAAAATCAGATGTCATGGAGGATGATTTCGGATTGTGGCAAACAACTGTAAAAGATTTGTTGGCACAACAGAGAATCTTGAAGGATTTGCGGGCAACAAAATCAGATGTCATGGAGGATGAAGATTGAGAAGAATTGCAACAACGAGCGGCAACAACCATACACTTATGTTTGACATATAGGGTTATGTATCACGTGATGAATCTAAAATCTTCATAAGAGATATAAAAAAAATTATAAACTCAGTTTATGTTCAAATCTCTGACGAATAAATTGTATCTGAAATAAAAGCTGTATGGGCTGAAGATACAAAAAGACTCTGATCTAGCGCAGCACGTAAATGACTTCAATCAAATAATCACAGATTTGTCACAGCTTGATGTAAGTATTGAGGATGAAGACCGAACAATGATTTTGTTGTGTTCACTGTCTTCTTATGAACACTTGTTGACTTCTCTGACATATGGAAAATAAACTATCAAAGTTGATGAGATTACTGCAACATTGTTGGCTCAGAACAAGTTGAAGCAGAATGCAAGGGAAAACTCTCATGGCGACAGTTTATATGTGAAGTGTAATTAGGATCGTGGAAGGAAGAAAGAGAATGAGAGTCCTGGAAGGCTAAATTTCAGATCAAAGTCAAAAGGCAAAAAGACAATTCATTGCTACCAGTGCAATAAACAGAGTCATATGAAGAGAGATTGTCCAAAGCTGAAAAAGCAGACTGAGGAGAAACGTGATGCATCATCGAAGTTTGTAAATGTGGTGCAGAGTGACAATTCAGATTGCAGTGATGACGATACGCTTTCAGTTTCATCAACACAGTTCAGAGATGCATGAATTATTGATTCAGAAGACTTTTATCACATAACACCTAACAGAGAGTGATTTACTTCATACAAGTTAACTAATTCTAGCTCAGTCTATTTAGGTGAAAATAGATGTTGCAATATTGTTGGTATTTGTGAAGTCAGAATTCAGATGTATGATGACATTGTTAAAATATTATATGATGTCAGATATATTCTAGATCTGAAGAAAAATTTGATTTTCATGGGCACTTTAAATAGAAATGATTTTATTTCTAAAGCATATGAGGATAAAAAAATCATCAAAATTGTTAAGGGTGCACTGACTGCGATGAAAGGAAAGTTAACTGCAGGTAATAACTAAAAACTGTTAGGAAGTACACTTGTAGATGTAGTTCATTCTGTGAATTCAGATGATAATAATACAAAACTACGACATATGCGACTGGGTCATTTTAGTGAACGTGGGATGACAGAATTGGATAGAAGAAACCTGTTGCATGATGTTAAAAGCTGCAAGCATGATTTTTGTAAATTCTATATTCTTAAAAAACAGACTAGAGTCAGTTTTATGACTGGAAAGCACAAAACTGAAGGGATTCTTGATTATGTGCATTCTGATGTATGAGACCCTACAAGAGAATCGCCATTGGGAGAATCTCAGTATTTCGTTACATCTATTGATGATTTCTCTAAAAAAATTTAGGTATATTTCTTGAAGCAGAAATCTAAAGTATTCTCTAAATTCAAGCTATGAAAAGTTGAGGTGGAGAACCAAATTGACAGAAATATCAAGTATTTGAGATCTGATAATGACACAGAGTACATATTCAATGACACAGAGTACAGAGTACATATTCACAGTTTCAAAAATTTTGTGAGGAGCACGGGATTCAGAGTCATTTTTCAGTGCGCAAGACACCACAGCAAAATTGTGTGACAGAAAAGATGAACAGGTCCTTAAATGAAAAGACAATATGCTTGAGACTGATTGCAAGGTTTCCTAAGAATTTTTGGGCAGAAATTGTGAAAATGACATGCTATCTTATCAATAGATCACCTCGGGCATCGTTAGGTTGCAAGGTTGCAGAAGATGTATGGAAAGCTAATCCAGTTAATTTCGATCATTTACAAATTTTTTATTGTCCTGCTTATGTGCATGTACCTGGAGATGAAAGATCAAAACTTGATGCAAAATCCAAGAAGTACATCTTTCTAGGCTACAAGAAATTTATTAAAGGATATAAGTTGTGAGATCCTATTGTAAAGAAGATGGTGATCAGCAGAGATGCAGTTTTTTATGAACAGTCTATGTTGTAGCAGAATCAAGACAAGGTGTCAAAAAATAGTTCCAGTTCAGATGCAATGCAAATAGATTTAAAACAACATCCAAAAACAACTGAGAAGTTGAATGTTCAAATCCAACACCTGATGATTTCATTCTAGATGATCTGCAGAATTACAATCTAGCCAGAGAAAGACAAAGACGATAAAGACACACCAATATAAGACCTCCTAAGATAATTGGGTTATGAAGACTTGGTCTCTTGTGCACTTCTCATCAACAACGATGATCCAGCTACTTTTCAAGGAGTTATCACTAGCCAAGAAAAAGATAAATGGATGGGTGCAATGGTTGAGAAGATGGAATCTTTGCAGAAAAATCACACTTGGTAACTAGTTCAACTTCCTGAGGAAAAGAAAGTTATTGGGTGCAAGTGGGTGAACAAAAGAAAACCAGTAGTATCAAAAAAAGAAGGGGAAAAGTTCAGGGATCGACTGGTAGCAAAAGAATTTGCATAGCAAAGGGGATAAATTATGATGAAATTTTTTCTCCTGTGGTCAGACATACTTCAATCAAGGCAGTGCTTGCATTAATAGCTATTTGGGATTTTTATTTAGAGCAGGTGGATGTTAAAATTGCTTTCTTGCATGATGATTTGAAGGAGCAGATTTACATGGAGCAGCCAGAAGGGTTCAGTCAACCTGAACAGAAACATCTGGTTTGCAGATTAAAGAAATCGTTGTATTGGTTGAAATAATCTCTAAGACAATGGTACAAGCAGTTTGACTCCTACATGATTCAAATTGACTAGAAGCGATGTGAGTATGATTGTTGTGTTTATGTGAAGAACCTTGAAGATCGTTCTATTATTTTTCTGTTACTATATGTTGATGATATACTGATTGCTGATTGCTGCTATACTGATTGCTGCAAAGAATATGAATGATGTTTGTGGTTTGAAAGTTTTATTGAGTCAGGAATTTGACATGAAATATTTGGGTCCTACAAATAATATTCTTGAAATGGAGATTCATCAAGATAGTGGCTCAAGACAATTATATTTATCTCAACGAGGCTAATATTGAGAAAGTGTTGCACATGTTTGAGATGAGCAAAACAAAGCCTGTGAGCACTCTATTGGTAAGCTTTCTTCAGAACAATGTCCTAAAACATACAGAAATCGAAAACATGACAAAGGTTCTATATGTCAGTGCATTTGGCTGTTTGATGTATGCAATGCTAAGTACTCGTCTTGATTTGACTCATGTTATTAATCAAGTCTGCAAATACATGTCTAAACCTGGAAGACGACATTGGAAAGCACTCAAGTGGATTTTCAGGTATCTAAAAGGTATTGTAGGACATGAAATTATTTTTGGCAGTCAGCATGATGATCCTTCAGTTGTGGGATACATTGATTCAGATACATTGATTCAGACTATACTATGCAGGTGATTTGGATGACAGAAGATCTACACCTAGGTATTTGTTTACACTTGTTGGAGGGCCTATATATTAGAAATCAACAATTCAATCTATTGTGACATTATCTACAACTGAAACTGAGTACATGGCAGTATTTGAAGCTACAAAAGAAATCTTATGGCTTGTTGGGCTAGTAAAGGAACTGGGCGTTAAGCAAGGTGGAGTTCAGTTGCATTGTGACAGTCAGATTGTTATTTATCTGGCTGAGAACCAGGTGTACCATGCGAGAACAAAGCACATTGATGTCAGGTATCACAAGATCAGAAAATTGATTGCTTCTGGTGAGATACTGTTGCAGAAGGTACATGCTGATGAAAATGCAGTTGATATGTTGACCAAGCCAGTTACTATCTACAAGTTCTTGCATTGCTTGGACTTGTTGAATATTTGCAGTTGCTAGAGAAACTCACTTTCAGTGTATAAGAAACTTCATGATGTATTTCTCCTAAGGAGCTGGATAGGTTGGATATTCGCCAAGGTGAAGACTTATTAGGTATGACTAATATACCATATAAGAGATAGATGTTGGAACGAAGCGGAGCGGAAGAATCTATCCAAATCGGGGGAGTTTCGTTATGAGAGTTGGGGGTGCGGGGGAAACGCCTTCGCGGTACGGTACAGGGGTAATGTAGGAATTACATATTTTACTCCAGGGTTTTATCTAGGGTTATATATCGGCATGTTTGTAACCCTAGGCTATTTTGATGTTGTATCCCATATTTAGTACTCTTTTCTGGAATTGAAAGAAAACCGCAGCTCTGCTACCGAGGACTTATACATCTTTGCCGAACCTCGTTAAATCTCTGCGTTCTTCTGGATTTGTGTCGATTTTGTTTTTCTTCTCGCTTAATTTCTCAACAATTACCCACATAGTTTTCTAAGCCAAAATTTCTTTAGCCTCTAGCATAACTATTGTATATTTCACAAATGCATGCCTCGCACAGAAAAACATAATAATGGCAAATTTTAAATGACAATTGTATGAGAAAAGCAAGGCCTAAAAATTTCTGTACATACTATATTGTTCTTGGATAAGAGATATTCTGTCTGTGATGAAGGTTTCAAAAGAAATGCACTTAGGAATATTCACCTGATCATTTTAGCAGCACCAAATCCAAGAGAATCATGAAATAAATCTTTCATATACTTTTCCTGGACAATGAACCAAAGTTCTGGCTTCTTGTATATATCTGCAAGATAAGCCTCCCCATTTGCATCTTTGTGTTCATTCCAAAAGGAAATGAATTTCTTACGGAAAAGATTCCAAGTATCTTTTATTGTCGTAAGAAGCCATTCTTTATATGCCTGGAGAACAAAAGTAACAGAAGCAGTTCAATCAGACAAATTATAAATCATTATGGAATGTGGCATTCCTCATAAGCTTCCATTATATAAAAAACAATTTCTCATTTCATAAGTTCAAAAAAGCAAATAACAAATAAAATAAAATAAAATAAAAAAGAGAAAACACTGATCGAAATTCTTTTGTTAAGGAAAATGATATAAATTAAATAACTAGATTAGATATAAATTAACGGTAATGTATGCACGGTTTACTAAGCTTTAGAGGTCAGTTCAAGTTGGTCCACGTTTATAAGATTCCCAAATTACATCGACCATTCTATGTTCTTACATAAGACTGTACTTGCAAAGAGCACATAAAAGTGCAAATTAAGAACTCAAGATTCAATGGTTGAAAAGCCTGCTTGAAATTCCTACCAAATTGCATACGCTGCCACTGAAACTTGTATGAAAGCAGCTATGTAACTATAAAAGTTTGATATATTCTTAGTCATTGCAGTTATTTTGTTTAAAAAAAAAATTCAACTTTAAAAGTATTACGCAAAAAATAGTGGTTCAAATAAATTCAATACACAACAATTTTTCGATAATATTACACAAAAAAAAAAAAGAAACTCAAAAAACACAAGCTAAACTGGCTAAAAATCCATGATTTAAAACCCCACCAGCCTAGCCAATTCCGTCACTCACCCGTGCCTTCTGTTCTTTGTTTCTCAAGATACGGAAATAAATAGACTTTTAAGAAAACGATGAGCTATACAAATTATTTTTTAGTCATACAGTATGCTTCATCTTCCTATTGTTGCTAACACAGGCACTTTAAAATGCCTTCTTGTTGTGCAGCTTAACCAACAGTATGTGTTTTAGTTCATACGTGCAACTCCTTCACCTTCTTCGTTTGTCATGTTCATTACATCAGGAATTTTATGAACAATTTCATCACAAGCTATCAATAATGCCTATATCTTTAAACTAACTGGAAAAAAATTGAAAAGCGACAAAAAAATTAGTCAAATTTGTTTAACAAAGTCATCAAATGCTTCAAAGAACGTATAATCACGTATACATACAAATAATTATTCACGTTCAGAAACCTCCCGCATTAGTGTAACTAACAACATGATAATTGTAGAATAAAAGTTATACAATTAAGGCCTAATTCAAATTATAAACAAAAAATAAACTTTGAACTAATGAACAAGAATTAAAAAAAAAAAACTCCTGTTAAAGATTAATTCAATCCATACTGTTCGATCTTTTCCATTATCTGCATGTCCGTCTTGTGAAAAGAATGCCAAAATCAAATTCCCCACAAAGGCTCCTATATCGAACCCCATAGGCCCATAAAAGGCAAATTCTGGATCTATTACTTGAGTAGATTCTGTGGTCACCATGACTGAACCAGTATGAAGATCTCCATGAATAAGAGCCTGAGCTCTCTCACAGAACCTAGAATATGAAACAATGCTGATAAGACCTATCATATTAAATAAATAACATCAAATAACTACAAAACATATAGTACAATCAAATACTATAGAACTTAATTAGAAAATTGACTCTAGGATGAACATCATACATAGACTTCAGACCAGCAACCTCAAGCTTTAAAATATCATCCTCACGAACTGTCCCAGCATCTTGATCAAGGTAAGGAGACGTCCAACAGTTATACTGAGAGATCTTGTATGGATCCGAAAATACAACCTGTTCAGTGAGTCTACATAGTTCAACATTTCCGCAATATTTTGCAACTGCACCAGTGCATCAATATATTCGTAAGAAACTTCAAAATAAGACTAATCAATGTCATGTTCTCCTTAGAAAGTTTAAATCTAAAACACAAATAAACGATAGAAAAGAAAAGTAAGACGAACCTAATAAACTTACATTGATGAAAAGTGATATTGCATAAATTTGCAAAAGTCGTGGGTTAACCAATATTTCACTACAATGGAAGGAGGACAACAAGGTTGTACAAAAAAAAAACAGTTGAAAGCAAAGAATGAGAAGATTAAAAAAAGTTATCCTCTGAGAATTTTTGTTTTTTTATTCCAAAAAATTCCTTATTGTTGAAATATCTCGTAAATAATTATTACATATTTGTTGTAACTCTATATTTAGAGGGTTATATATTATATGAGGGATCTTAGGAACCTTTACTTATTTCTCTCCTTAATTAGAGAAATTAGTTGCCGCTTATCTTTGTTATTATCCATTTCCTTGTCTACTATATTTTGTTTTTATTGTTTTCCATACCAGTAAGTCCTGTAATGAGTATTTATGCCCCTCTTGCATCAATAAGAATAAGCCCTCTTATATTTTTCCACTGTTCTCATGGTATCAGAGACACATCGAATATTTAGGATTTGAATCTTTATAGTCATCTGTTTTGCCTGGAGAACTCTATCTTGGAGTTGTTCGCCTGATCTGTGCCGCTCGATCGTGGAGTTGTTCGATCTTGGAGCTGTTCGACACCCTAACTACTTCCTCTGTGTCGCTCGATTGTGGAGCTGTTCGATCGGAGAGCTTAAGCCGTTCGCTCGCTGCTGGACTACCGCTCGCCTCTCGATCTGTTCGACTACTGCTTCGTCCGCTTCTCTCGATCTTGGAGCTGTGTTCTCTCCGATAGCAAGCGTCTGATCCTCTGTGGCGTCTTTTGCTTTCCCTTTTCTTCCTGTCTCGCGAAGGCGGTAATTCTCTGAAGGTGATAATCGTTTGCTTCAGGGGGCGAATCTTGGGCTCAAGCAAATTCACCATCCTTCATCTTTAAAATGTCTGAAGTCACGTCTCAGACAAGCCAGCCTCTTCAGTCATCTCAGTCTGAACCTCAGAGAAATACATCTGAAAATCATCCAATTCAGATCACTACAATCTGACTAAATGGTGATAATCTTTTTCGATGGTCACAATCTGTTTGCATGTATCTCCGGGGAAGAAGAAAGATTGACTATATCATAGGTGATACTAAACAATCTGACGTGAATGACAACTTAGGTCATTTGGGATGCGAAAAATTCTTGGTTAATTTCATGACTGAAGAGATAAATGCAAATTATCTATGTTACTCTACAACTAAGGAATTATGGGACAATGTTTCATAAATGTACTCTGATCCTGGAAATTAATCCCAAGTTTACGAGCTGACTCTACGACTTGGGAAAATTTGCCAAGGTGAGAATTCTGTGACAAAATATTTCAATTCTCTTAAGAAAATTTGCAGGACATGGACTTATTCAACGATCATGAGTGGAAATCAAACGATGGCTGCAACCAGGCTGCAACCAGTACAAGAAGATCAAGAAGATAGTGGATACTGGCCGGAGCTTCAAATTTCTTGCAGGGCTAAATGTTGAATATGATGAGGTTCGTGGCCAAATATATGGAAGAAATCTTTTGCCTCCAATTGGTGAAGTTTTTGCGGAGGTAAGGAGAGAATAGAGTCAGAGACGTGTGATATTGGGGAAGAAGACTGCAGGTTCAACCGTGTCCGTGGAAGGATTAGCGCTGGCTATTTCTGAAGCTCAAGCAGGAAAACTTCTCACAACCAGCAGGTAGAGGACAAAAACAACCTACGATGTGACTACTGTGAAAAACCACGCCATACTCGCGAAAAATGGTGAAAGTTGCATGGTAAACCACCTAATGGTAAAGGAAAAAAATCTGGTGAACATAGCACACCTACAACAAATATGGCCGAGTCAACCCAAATTAGTAAAGAACAATTAAGTCGTCATCTTCTTTTAAGTCATCTTCTTAAACTGCTGAAATCTTACTCATCATTTAATGCTCCTATCGGTTCTATAGCACAAACAGATAATAATCCTTTAGCTTTATCTGTTCTAGGAAGTAACACTCTTTGGATCATCGATTCAGGAGCATCTGATCATATGACAAGCTGTTCTCAATTATTTGATTCATATAATCCATGTTCCGGTTCCGAAAAAATCAGAATAGCTGATGACAGTTTTCACCTATTGCAGGAAAAGTAAAATTAAAATTTCAGAAAAAAATCTATTTGAAATCTGTCTTCCAAAACTTACATATAATCTTCTTTCCGTTAGCAAATTGTTACAAAACTTGCATGTACTACCATGATGGAACTGATTCTGCAAATAAAAGAGCTCATAGATTAGGTAGTACAAGTTCAAGCTTTGACTATGATCAAATTATGTTATGTTATAAAAGATTAGGACATCCTAGTTTTTCATATCTCAAATCTTTATTTCTTAAATTATTTAAAAGTATTGATTGTTTAAAACTTCATTGTGAAGCGTGCAATTTATCTAAAAGTCATCATTTTTCGTTTCCTATAAAATCATATTCTGCTTCAAAACCATTTTATTTAGTGCATAATGATGTTTGGGGTCCATCCAAAGTTAACACACTTTCTGGAAAAAAATAGTTTGTAACATTTATTGATGATCACACATAAAATTTGTTAGGTGTATTTATTGGAAAAGAAATCTGAAGTTGACACAACGATTTAAAGATTTTTTCCATATGATTGAAAATCAATTTCAAACAAAAATTGACATTCTAGGAACGGATAATGAGACTGAATATTTCAACAAATATTTGAGAATATTTATTTTGGAAAAAAGGTATTCTGCATCAATCCACTTATCATGACACACAACAACAAAATGGTATTGCTGAAAAGGAAAAATAGACATTTTCTTGAAGTTAACAGAGCACTTATGTTTTCCATGAATGTTTCTAAATATATTTGGGGTAATGCACTTCTTACCTCCTGTTATTTAATAAACAGAATGTCATCTTGAGTTCTAAAATTTAAAACACATTTACAAGTTTTAAAAAATTATTTTTCCACATCTAAGATAACAGCTGATCTCCCTTTAAAAGTTTTTTAATGTGTTTGTTATGTGCATGTCTCAAATGTGTTTCGCTCAAAACTTGATCCCAAAGCTGAAAAATGTGTTTTTATTGGATATACTTCCAATAAAAATTGGTACAAATGCTTTGACCCTATCAAAAAAAATTTTTTTGAGAGCATGGATGTCAAGTTTGTCGAGCATCACCCTTTTTTTCAAAACAATTTTCTTTAGGGGGAGAACTCAGTTGAAGAAAATAATTTTTGAAAAACTTTACCCATTCCTTTATGGAAACTAGGGTCAGCACTACTAATCAATTTTTGTCAGATATTACCTTCTCAGAGACAGGGGGAGAAGTACTTCCAACGGATCATAATTCTCAACATGAGCTACAAGTTTATACTAGGAAGAAATTCCATTAAGTTACTACAGCCCCAGTTGTTCCCTCAGCAGATGTACAATCACCTTTGTCGAATAATGGTCCTACAACTCAGAGTAATCTTCCATCTACTTCCACTCCTGATATTGATCTTCCAATTGCTTTCAGAAAAGGAATATGAACGAGCACGAAACATCATATCACACAATACTTGTCATATGAAAAACTATCAAAAAAGTATAGAACATTTGTGTCTATGATTTCTAATATGCTTGTTTCAAGAACTGTTCAGGAAGCATTAGGTGAACCAAGTTGGAAATTAGCTGTGATGGAAGAAATAAATGTTCATAAAAGAAATAACACCTAGACAGTCATTGATCTACCTAAAGACAATAAGACGATTGGGTGCAAATGGGTGTTCACGATGAAGTTTAAAGCTGATGGAAGTGTGGAGAGATACAAAGCAAGACTAGTAGCAAAAGGATTTACTTAAATTCATGGTATTGATTACCAAGAGACTTTTGCTCCCGTTGCTAAAATTAATTCTATTAGAGTACTTCTTTTTCTTGCAGTTAACTTCAACGGGTCACTTCATCAATTTGATGTAAAAAAATCATTTTCAAATGAAGAATCGCGAGAAGAAGTATATATGGACCTACCACTCGGATTTGAAGAAAAATTTGGAAAGATAAAGTATGCAAATTAAAAAAGTCCCTTTACGGGTTAAAGCAATCTCCTACAATTTGGTTTGAGTGTTTTGATGATATTATCAAGAGACATGGATTCTCTCAAAGCCAAGCTGATCACATTCTTTTTTCAAACATTTCATTAAAGGTAAAGTAGTCATTGTGATTTTGTATGCAGATGACATAATCATGACAGGGTATGATCCTCTGGAGATTAGCAACTTGAAAAGGAAACTTGAAGCCGAATTTGATATTAAGGACTTGGGAAAGCTAAAATATTTCCTTGGAATGGAGTTTGCAAGATCCAAGGAGGGAATTTTTGTCAATCAACGCAAGTATGTGCTTGATTTACTCAAAGAAATAGGAATGACAGGTTGCAAGGCAGCAGATATGCCAATTGAACATAATATAAAGTTGAAACCAGCAGCAGCTAATGAGGTAATGGACAAAGCATGCTTTCAAAGATTGGTAGGGCGACTAATCTATTTGTCTCACACTTGACCTTACATAGCCTTTGTAGTGAGTGTTGTGAGTCAATTCATGCATTCACCTGGACCTACCCACTTCGAAGTTGTATTCAGAATTTTGATATATCTCAAAAGAACTCCTGGAAAAGGACTTTTGTTCAAAAAGGGAGAACATCTTCTAATAGAGGCCTACACATATGCAGATTGGGTAGGAAATATAAATGATAGAAGATCCACATCAGGTTATTGTACATTTGTAGACAGAAATATGGTTACTTGGAAAAGTAAAAAACAAAGTGTGGTAGCAAGAAATAGTGCTGAAGCAAAATTCCGCTCAGTGGCACATAGACTCTATGAAGAGTTGAAGATTCCTATGTCAGCACCTATTAAAATTTACTGCGACAACAAGGTTACAATCTCTATAGCTCATAATCCAGTTCTACATGACAGAACAAAACATGTAGAAGTTGACAAATATTTCATCAAGGAGAAGATAGATAATGGTGTGATATGTATAATGGTGTGATAGATAATGGTGTGATATGTATATCCTACATGCCCACTGCTAGCCAAACAGCAGATATTCTAACAAAAGGTCTTGACAAAGTGTAACATGGGAATCTAGTTAACAAGCTTGCTATGAGTAACATCTTCATGTCAGCTTGAGGAGGAGTGTTAAAAGATCTCGTAAATAATTATGATTATATTACATATTTGTTGTAACTCTATATTTAAAGGGTTATAAATTATATGAGGGATCTTATAAATCTCTATTTATTTCTCTCATTAATTAGATAGATTAGCTGCCCCTTATATTTGTTATTATTTCTTTCCTTGTCTACTATATTTTGTTTTTATTGTTTTCCTTACCAGTAAGTCCTGTAATGGGTATTCATACTCCTCTTTGCATCAATAAGAATAAGCCCTTATATTTTTCCACTGTTTTCACTCACAAAACATTCTCCAGAACTATGTAGCATTTTAAAAAGAAATTCAAAGGTACGATACAGAGCATTAGAATAGCCAACCAACAGGGAATGTTATTTCTTCTAAAGGAAATGGGTGAAAGTGAGTAATTTGCTACCCAAATATTTTTTATTGGCTTTTAGAATGTCATTGGGTACCAACAACTTAGTTATAATTATTTCGAAGTTTGCATTTCGTCCAGAGATGCATTAAGTTTTAACTCTGCCTAAGTTAAAAATTCGAAGCATTTCAACCTTGTAAGTTATGGATTATTCACTTTTCTTAGCAATCCTTTCTAGTTGCCCTTCACATATACTTCTGCTTTCTGAAAAATACAACCAAACAAGTTCAATCTGTTTTCTGATAGGTCAACGCACTATATATCATTTAAGCGGTTTGGCTAATAATTTCATTTTCATACTTCATACTTTCTAGCTTTAAATTTTCACATCTGAGAATTAGTTATAAAAATATTATTTTGTATTTGATTGGTTATTATCATCATACATCAGTATTACCACCTAAGGCATCCAAATGATTATGATTTTGACATAGGCATAGGTATAAGAAAGCATTATCAATTTTTTTTCTTAACTTCCATATAATAATTTAAACTGATTAGGGTGCCTAAAAGGTGATTGTTATATTTTAATGTAGCTAATATACTTTTTGATTTAATTGCAAGGTTATGATTTGTATTTATCAGTTTGATATGTTTTTAAATATCATATTTAAACCAAGTTGTGAATATATCTGGATCATTTAGATAAATATAATCTGTTTACAACAGCTCCAGCTTGAAATTATACTGCCACAACACATAAATTCCTAGTTCGTAAGAGGCACTTAACAAATTCATCTTTGTTCCTCTCTCTCATTCTTCCATTTTTACTTAAACTTGTACTCCGGGCTAATCAAGTTGCTCAATTGATTTAACAAAAGAGTAAACTAGAAACATTAGAGCATAGCCTAAATGTATGGTCCAGTCTGATTGGGTTAAATGTGATCATATGGGGTCAACTGGGAGTTTTTAAATGCATGAAAACTTCATATATAAAAGGCACGCATAAATAAAAAATAATTAGAGTAAATTACACCTTAAGTTAATAGAAAACAAGTGGAACATTAATACAAGATTTACAATGTAAAGAAGTTGCAACTTCTAGTAAAACAAACTCATATAAGACCATTACGATATGCTCATTAATTAGAAGATATATAAAATATCTTTAGAGGAATATATATTTAAACAAAAATAAGGATTAACAATTGACAAATAAATTTAAGCGTATTCACATACATACCATCCAATTCCTATGTATTTATATATCTAATACCTAAACTTTGCTATTTACATTTATACCACACAAATCATTCATATCACATAAAAATACCACTATTATAGCTTTTGAAAATTGAAATACACATTTTGATGCATAGGTAAGGTGGAAAATGTAAAAACTGAAGTTTGGTGTTAGATATGTAAATACATGAAAATTAGTGGCATGTATGTAAATCTTCCATAAATTTTAACATAGCCATTAAATTGTAATTACACCTATCACATTAATGTTGTCTAATTAGGTAACAACTAGGTAAGAAAAATTCATAAAATTTAGAAAACAGTTTTAAAATTGGCACACCATAAATATGCAATACTAAGCAGATAATTTGGGGAATCTATATTAAAAAAAAGGAAAAAAAAAACAAGAAACCAATAGTTAATACCTTACCAAATTTTTTGAAATATAAAACAAAATGAATGAATGTAGGATGCATGAAATATTGATCAGTTATGCTCAACATGTTGTACAATGTTGCATAAGAAAGATTTACCTTCAACTTTATGCTCAAATGTAGAACGGTACAAAAGAGACGTAAAGAACAGCGTTCGAGCCATGTATTCCGACATATGTTCCGCAAGCAATGGATATTCAATTCCAGCAATCAATCCTTTCCGCAAAATAATATGTGGTGGCTCCAAGTAGCGCATAGCAATCAAAGACAAGGGCTTATCAAAATGATAAACTTCTGGAACATGAGACGGGCATAGACGGCCATGCTCTCTCAAGGTTAATGCCTCAAAATATGCACGCTCCTTTGTCATTGGCCATGACTCACCAATGCAACGAATATATGGAATAGCCTGAATCATCATTTAAAATATATTAACAATAGCATTTTTAGTTCTATGTAAATAGAATAGAATTGATTAGTGAAATGTAGAATGCCAAAAATAGTCCCTTAATTATTTACATGAGACCATTTTAGTCCCAAAGTCTACAAAAGTGCAAAATTTGTCCCTAGACTCTTCAAATTGGGGCTGAAATAGTCTTCTGTAAGAACAATTTTAACCCATATTAAAAGCATGGGGACTAAATTGACACTTTTAATAACTCTGGAATTGAAATGACACCAACAAAGAGTCGGGGAGACTACTTTGACACTTTTCTCAATTAATCAATTAGGAAAATAGAAGGAGACAATCTTCCAACATACTAAAGGAGCTGAAAATAATAAGTTTGTGTTTTTTTTTCCTCAATTATTTCTTCAAGGACAACACCATTAGAAATAAAAGAATTTAAAGAAATTTTTGCATGTTCATTCTATTTGTTTGTTTGAATGCCCACGTTAATGCATGTCATATTGTCCAAACTTTTTTCAGCCACCAGATCCTAACATGGGTTCAACTCACCCAAATCTTTATTCTGAACCTATTGCAGCTTAGTTGTTAGCTTGACTCAGCCACATAATTTTTTTTAATCAACATAATTTTTTTTAATCAACAAAACCAACAAAAAAAAATCATGTGCATGCTCTTGGATCCATATAAGATTCAAACTTAGTTTCTACTATTGATTTATGGATTTTTTCCTCGACTCAATCGACAACAATTATACATGACTGTGGTCTCTATTCTTGCAGCAAGGAAAAGGGACTTTTTCAAAAAGAATAATACCAAACTAGGGCAATCCTATTAATATGATAATTTGCAGAATGAAATCAAATCCAACAATCTGAAACAAGAATCAACACCATATGTAACAAAAAGTATTTATCTTGTAGTCCTAGCTGTAATACTCATTAGCAACCCTTACATCTCAAGAACACATCGTATCATCAATATTGGAGTATCCGTGAGAAATTTAGTGTGTAACAACACAAGCATTTTTATAGAAACAACATTCAAATGCTTCCATTTACAGTAATAATTTGGTTGCAAAGCACGCAAATGCATTGGAAGTAAGAAGGAATGAAGTACACCTGCTTGATGACGACAGATCCTCCGGAGGAGCTGATGACGATGTAGACGAAGTTAAGGTTGCCATCCCCGACCTCCTTGACAGTGAGGCCTTCAAGGTCATTTCCAAGCAAGGAGAAAACAGCAGGCGTGGCCCTGATATACTCGATAAGGGATTTCTCATCCAAAGCCCTAAATCCTTCGTCCACCATCGCCAAGACCCTGGGTTCCGGCGAGCAGGCTGAATGAGTAATGGGGAAGAGAGAGATGGGAAAGAGCAAGGAGCCCAGATTCGGGAAGGGAAAGTGGAAAGTGGAAAGTGGAATGTGGAAATTGTAAGGTGGGAAAAATTGTGTGACTTATACAATGGAACTGGACGGGTTTTAGGCTCCGTTTGGGGCCGCTTCTTTTGTGGAAATTGTAATGTGGGAAAAATTGTGTGACTTATACAATGGAACCGGACGGGTTTTAGGCTCCGTTTGGGGCCGCTTCTTTGCGACTTCGCGGGCATGGAATCATGAAAATCAATCATTGGCTCCCAGCGTCGCGGCAGAACGAAGTTGAAGTGGAAGAAAAGCGGGCCGCGATATCCATCCCGAGGCCCCAGCTTTCGGCTCGTCAAAAGCTTTTTTACCCTCGGCGCAATCCTCCTCCCGCCTATTCCCGAGTGTATTCTTCCTTCCCGCAGACCAAACCCTCCCTCGCGCGAGCGTTCTTCTTACTCCTCGACATGCGAAGCCTCTGCGAGCGTTCTTCTTCCTCGACACCAGGACCGATCGCGCACGTTCTTCTTCCTCGACGCCAGGACCGATCGCGCACGTACTTTTTCCTCGAGTGCGAGCGTTCTTCTTCCTAGACACCAGAACCGAACCGTCTGCACGTGTTCTTCTTCCTCGACACCAGGATGGAACCCTTCCGCGCGCGTTCTTCTTCCTCCACCAGAACCGAACCCTCGTCGAGTTCTTGCCGCGCAGGTCCTTCCTCGAACAGGACCGAATCCAGGGAGCACGAGCAGGTAATCCGATCTTCTTCAAAATTTTTTGAGAATGGTTTTAGAGTTGGGGAGTTGGAACATATGAGCGAGTTGCACAAATTAAAAATGCTTTTTCTAAAAAAATGGAAAGGTGCAAGCGAGATGACAGAGCTGAGGGAACAAATTACTGATGAGATAGTATGCCTATAAATGAAGAATTTGAGAATTTATTAGTTGAATATTAATAAAAATATTGCTGCACTGATTTTTACATGTATACCACTGAATTTTGGTATTTATTTTTTACATTTACATGTATACCACAAGATAATTTCCATGTTTTTACAAAATTTTGGTATACACTTATTGCATTTGAACTTGGTACTCATAAAGACAAAATTATCTTGTTCATTTTTTGTTTCAACTTGGTACTCATAAAGAATGACCTGTGAGAGTCAAGGGAACACATGAACCTACAGTTGAACTCCCAGATTGGGAGACTAGTTCTCATGATCTCAACCTCAACTTAAATAGATTATAAACACGTGTTGTCTTACGAAATATAAACATGAGTGGAAAGGACACATAGTCCAAATTATACATCATATTGCAGATAAGAAATATCCAATCAATAGTTGCTTTTGTTTTATGAATTCTATTACAAATTGCCCAAGCATTTTCAGTGCATTTTTACATTGACCTCAAGTGTCAATGTAAACTTGTACATTTAAGTATAGGTTGAACGTGGCATTAAGTTGAGGTCATTAGAGCGTTGTGGAAAGGACAATAGCCTGATCCGGATTCGTTAAGGTTGCATTTGTTTAGGGGTTGGATCCCTCTAGAGATGAAAAAAGAAAAGAAAAAAAGATGCTCAAATGGCATCAAAGAACTGTACTTACATTATTTGATTTCAACTGATGGTGATGAGGGTGGTTAAGATGGTCTAGTGTGGGTACTTCTCCAACATGCTTTACCACATTAGATTGTATCAATAGCGTTATATGTCTTCACTTTTTTTCTTCCACATGACTGAGATTTTTAACTATTGCTTTCTTTCATAGCTTTAACACTATTTGAATGTATTTGGATCTATCCACCAGGTTAGCTTAATTACTGCCAGTATTTGGTTACCTTTTCAACCATTTTTAGCATGTTACTTATCAATTTTATCCCAGAGATTTTGAAATTATGTTAGGAGCTTGAAATATCACTATAGTGTGGCTATATATAACTTAAAGTCAATAACTTCTTCATAACTCTTCTATACCATTGTCACATTGGATTATCAAAATTTCCCAATATAAAGATTGTATTATAAGCTTTTCTTCCAATATCTCTCCTTTTTTTTGGGCTTAAATATTTAATAAAGATACATCTTGTTGCAGGTGGTTTAGGTGGTATTTTGCAATACATCTTGCTGCAGGTGGTCTTTTACAATTTTAATTACCTTTTTTTTGGCAAAAATTTTGGTATACACTTACTGCAGTTGATTTAGGTGAGTTCAGTCTTACACTTATAATTTTTTCTGATTTACAATAAGAATGTGATGATTTTGGAACTTAACTAGAACCCAATGTGGACATTGTGTAAATGTATAATGTGAAGTTTAGGTGTTATAATTGTAAAAACATATGAATTGGGTGGGTTTGATGCAAATGTCCCAATTTTCACAAGCAATTACTATACACTAGCATTTGCAAGATCCATTTGGCACTCAGGTTTACACAGTTACTAGATCATAAAAACAGATGGTGGAAAGATAAGAGGGATTGGCTTCAAAGCATGCCTCGTTTTCTATAAAATGAATAAAAAAGGGTTTCAAAATCCTGATTATATGACATTTTGCTTTTGTATTTTTTGGAGGGACTAGATTCTCTGAAGCTTTGTGATGCTTTAATGGATCTGTACCTTTTTGGTTCTTGGGAATGATGTGAATTCTTTATCTTGGATTTCAAAATGCTACCCAACATATGGGCTTGTTTGATTTATCATAATGTAGTTATGTTGCTGGTGGAAGGCATATTTTGATGGATTACTATATTGAGCTCTAGCCCAGCTTTTAGATTAAAACACTTTTCAGTCCTGACAACTTGGAATTGAATTGATGCCTTTTTGGGAGCTTTTTTTTGTGCTTTTCTATAATTTTCTCAGCTCTCCAGCCTTGGAGAATCATCTTCATCTGACCTGGAAGCTCTTAAGCAAGGTCTTCATGTCCTCGTGCAAAGTGTGATTTAGTTTGGAAGTTCTTTGGCACTCCCATGACAACTCCTTTATACAGAACCATTAAATGAAGGAAATTCTTAAATATAGGTGAAAGGCCATTGCAGTATAGAAAATTCTGAAATTTATTTAGATATATGACAACAATGGTGTCAATTTTTTGTTTTAAGTTGGCTTCATCTTCAGGACTTTTCAACTATATTTGATATTTGTAATCATGAGTATAGAAGTGGCACTTATAGCAGTGGCACTGATAAAAAATATTAAGCAAATAAATAATTTAAGTAATATTTTAGTCCATATTAGTTTATGTGGTTCAACATAGCTTATATGATTTTTTTGGTTTCTTCAATTCAATGGTTTACTATCATTAATTGGTTTTTCACTGATTCTGTTGCTTGGTTTTTTCAACTGATCCAGTTCATGTCTATGGGCCTTTGTTGCTACCTTCGGAGACTTGTGGTTCCTGCATCTGCAGTTGGACTTATCTATTGGTTTGGTACTTGGTATTCATCCATGAATTAGTTTAAAATAATTGTAAAATTTGGAGTTCTTTGTTGGGTAAGCTCTACTGCTAGTTTGAAGCTAAGCCTTTAGGTCTTTTTTGCCTATTGGATCACGATTCTGAAGTTCAGCCTGTGAGTCTGTGAGTACCACTTCCCGCTATTATAATTCCATATTACAAACTCTTGGTTTTCATTGGTTGTTGACAAAAAATATACAATTAAAATATGTATGTAATCATATTGCAGTGGTATGTATGTAAATGCCCCATATATTAATTGAAATATGCAATCCTTTTGATTTTTCTTTGGGCCAAGGCTGATTTGTCATATATTAATTGAAATATGCAATCCTTTTGATTTTTCTTTGGGCCAAGGCTGATTTGTCATATATTAATTGAAATATGCAATCCTTTTGATTTTTCTTTGGGGCAAGGCTGATTTGCCAAATTGCTTGGTATTATATGCCCCATACAAAGTTCTTTATGTCGTTTGTATTCTATGCTCTATATATGCAAGCTTAAACAGGAGCATTTACCTAAATTGGAGCTGAATTTATTTTGATTATTAGTTCATTAATAACACGTTAAATCCTATATGAAAAATATATTTAATACATTCGTGCTACCGAATATAAGAGCATTCTTATAACATGCCTTTTATTTCATATGTTCACCTATCTAACAAATTAAAATTTTAAAATATATTAATCAATCCCATAAATTTATTGCATAACAATTACTAACTAATTACCCAACAGTTACATTTATTACATAATTAAAACATTCAAGTTTCACTAATGCATTACATAAAAAATTTTGCTTAAATTTCACTCTTATAGCCTTTTTTTTAACAATTTTACCAAACAAAGGCAGAATGATCATTTTTTCAGAAACAACTGCTCTGCAGCTGTTTTCACACAACTGAACCAAACAGACAGTCAACTTTCTCATAGTTGCTTTCCTGCAGCTGCTTCCTGAGGCAGCACAGCTGCAGCTAAAAAGCTGGAAAGTTGCAGCTGGTCAACTTTCCCATAGCTGCTTTCCTGCAGCTGCTTCCTGAGGCAACACAGCTGCAGCTAAAAAGCTGGAAAGTTGCAGCTGCGCCAAACAGACCCTTAATTGTGTTCGGAGCTGTCATAGTAGGCTTGATTGGTCTAGCAATAAGCAGGCTTAGGCAATCTTTTAATGGGCCTACCATGGCAAGTTATCACAATGAATCAAATAAACATTACTTTTACAAGCCCATATTGACCTTTCTCTTAAAGAATAATTCTTATAATGTATTGACTATACGACACATCTTATGCTTATAATTTATTTTATAAAATATGTAAAATTAAATTATATTTTCATATAATGCAATCCCCAAAGATGCATGAAAAAGCATGTTAGTTTTTACTCATCATTTATGGCATTATACAATGTGTGCACTTATTTAAAAAAATACTTGCATGGCATGAAGAAGATTTAAATTGTGTTCAAACATGTTTGAACATGTCCGAAAAAAGTAGATTCAACCATGTTCTCATACTTAAAAAAATAGTTGATTGTGACTCAAAAAATCTTTAAAACTTAAAAAAAAACTATATTCTTTAGAGCTTCATTAATGTCCTAATCTATAGAATACTATAAAAATATTAATAA